TCTTACACCTGCTACAAAAATAGTTATAGTTCTCAGCAATTTCTTCTGACTATTCTTTTTGATCGATGTTCTTTATTATTTGAAAGCAAAAGTTACGATTTTGCAGGCGACGATTATCTTTAAATCAGGCAGCGTTACGCACTTCGGAAGCGAAAATAACGCTAAGAAACGACATACAAAAGTGGCCGAATAATCTTAAATATTTGTTTATTTCAAGTTCTCTCTATGGGAGATTAGAAAGCACCTATATTTTAATAGAAATAATAGCATTTGATGGTGGAGCAACAACTTCTCTCAACAAAATACAATATTTTATCACTTTTCTATCGTTATCGGAAACGGTCCCAATACCAAATTATTGCCCATATACCAAGGCTTCCAAAACGGTCATATATTCCAGACATTTGTATAATGTCGGGTAAAAGTCCGGTTGGGCAAAGCATGTAACGGTCATCTACTTTTTAGTTTTCAAGACTTTCTTAAGAGACGGTCATTTTAACATAATTCGCGATCTTTTTGACCCAACCTTTTGCCTTTAACAGCCACACATTTCCGGTCATAAAAGTGACATGATCATTAAGTACTATCAAAATAACCCCTAATTTAATACCTTCTCATTTTAATCAAGGCTAATTAGTTGTCAAACAGCTGAAATTTACCTGGTCAGGTGACAGGTAAACTATTTTGAACCGGACATTGATCGGTCTATTCAAAGTTATTTTCTTACATTCATTTGACATTTCAGCGGTTTGCATCTAATTAATTTAGTCAAAAAGATTTAAATTATCAGAAACACGTTTACAAATATGATTTGATGAAAAAATTAAAAAGGTGAAAATGAGAAATCGTCATAACAACGTTGTTTGAACAAGAGACATGTCTCTGTTTGAACTAGTACATGTGTGCGCATGTGTGAAATTTAATTATGCATCCTAATTTCTTAAAAAAATGCTTAAATTGTCATTGATACCTTTATTTCACGTTTATTTCGAATATTTTCTTGAAGAAATAACGTAGAAAGAGCTACTTACACTCATTCATGCTTTGCAAACGTACACGGAATTTATGTATCTGTCTCTGGTCCATGTTTTACCATTGTCAAGATAACATCCGGTATTAGATTTAAAAACGAAAGTAAAGTTTTTGACAACGTTATTTTGCACAAATAAAGAGTCTAAGGCAGATATAAGTACGCTGATGTTGCACACTTCGAATGATGCACTGCCAATTTATCAGTTTACGTCAGAACTTCGAATTTGAATCAAAGAAAGTTTAATATCGTTTTTTTTTTAATGTCAATCATTGGGATGGCCAACTCGGCAACTGATTACCATAATTGCCTTTTGTTTATTTAGTCTTAAGGGATTAAAATTGGGATAATATATAAAATGTCCGGCTTGGTAAAAATAATTTTGGAAGCCCTGGTATATACCTCTTGCCGCTAAATTTGTCTTCTTGTCTCTAATTTTTACTTCTTGTCGCTAATTTTTTTTCTACTTGAATTGTCGCTAATAAGTGAGACCGGTTAAATCAAACTTTTTCTTAAGACATTGTCAGATGCTATTTTTTTTTATCTTAAAGATTAGCTTTTGTTCAAGTTTTGTAATAACCCATGCAGGTTTACAAATATCAATGAATATATGTCAATTCCAAATAATTTAATATGGATATGGATAAGAACAAGAGAACTTTAAAACAAACGAGGTTGAAATATTAAAGAATAGGGAATCCACGTCCCTTCACCCAAAATCATGTTCGCTCCCATTCACATTTGCACCCCTTTTTCAAGGTTTTGTGTTGAATAAAAACATAGTGTATTGCTATAATATAAAGATAATAAGTTTTTCTTATTGTTTAAAAATAAAGTTTGAATGGTTTTACACTAGTAATTTTTGGGGCCCTTTATAGCTTACTGTTCGGTGTGAGCCAAGGCTCCGTGTTGAAGACCGTACTGTGACCTATAATGGTTTACTTTTATAAATTTTGACTTGGATGGAGAGTTGTCTCATTGGCACTCATACCACATCTTCTTATATCTATCAAAACGTAAACAGGTTTCCTTTAGTGTTTTGTCTGGGACTATTATACTAAGGAATAGTCCCAGGTTTTGTGAATTATCTTTGACGAAAGCTTACACAATCATTCAAATCATGCACTATTCCAAATAAAAAAGAACACTAAAGTTTTTAGGACAAAGACAAATACTTGATTAAAGACTAATTTAAATATTGACCAGTGTTCCAGCTTGAATCTCAGGGCAGAAGGGTGCTAGTTGTCTGAAAGGGCACTTTAGCGCTATACCGTAGAAAGGCTTGTATAGTCCGCGGTTTTATTCTCCAAAATTGGACCTTCCAGACGGGGTGCGGACTATAGAGTACAATAAGCAAGAAATAAGAGAAAAATTTCAATTTCGCGGTCGAGGTGGTTTGTTTATGTTCCACCATCTTTGTTATTTCTATTGTAGAGGGCGCTCTTATCATTTTTCAAACTAATAATTTTAACTCATCCATATTAATAAGTTATTTCTATTCAATATCAAATTAATACTGATAAATATAAAAACTAAACCTTTCATTACAAATTTCTCGTTTCTTTTCAATGCATTGGTTGAAATAAACTGGTATCTGCTCGATTGAAACGATACAAACATAGTGAAAAAGACAACCGTAAACCAGCTTAGAATTTGTAAACTACAAAACGAAATCGGTTATTGTTCGTTCCGTTTTGGTGTTTCATACTGACTAATATGGTTTGTATTAGCTTAAGACCCTTCAAACATTAATGTGATAGATATATTAAAGACTGTTTTACAAAAGGATGGAACTGTTTTGCTTTCAAAGTCGTATTATAGTGATATCTGTTATGTACGGATTTCGACTCTCACCGGTTAATTTCTTCTTTTACACGTGCTTTTTAAACTTCCTGTTTAAACATACACAAGTTTCTAAATTGTTTTTTAAGTGAATTAAACTTATTTTAACAATCATGAAGCGTTCTAGAATCATTAACAAGCAGTTTCAGCTTCTGTTTGATGATGGAAAACAGGTTTTTCCAAGAAAATACCGCAAACGACCGCACAGGATTTGAAATTACCGGAGTTTCATTAGACCTTTTCTAACAGTTACAAAAAGTTTTTTTTCCTAAAATTTCGTGGGGAGAAGGGGGTGCGGACTATGTACCACTGCGAACTATACAAGCCTTTCTACGGTAACCCAGATTTTAAGGGCAATGTTGGACAGTGTATAAATTACCTTAAATATTGCTAGGCTCAGCTGGAGAACATTAGTTGTATTTAAACCATATTTAGAAATTAATGTGTTCTTGATGTTGGTTCCAGTAAGAATTTTTTTTATCAAATTATCATAACATGCAGCAAAGCATATCATTTTGATGTTAATCTAAACAAACTTGTACATTTGGTATGGAAAATAATCATCAGAAATTTCAATGTTTTATAACTTATACCAAAATAAACAAGAAGTTTTGAAAGATGGAGTTATACATGCAAAATTGAATGTTGAATGTAATTAAATTATCTACATTTAAATTACTTGTTCAAACATATAGTATATATGTTATTGAGAGTTATTTATTATCATTTGAATTGTTACAAAAAAGTATTTTTAAGTGCACACCAAAGTGCTCCTCAGTAAGGAGTTTTATAAATATAACAGGTGAGACAGGAGATGATCATATTTTATATTGATTCAATAATATATTGCAGAAGGTATAAACAGTTACTTTTTTCTCCATCATTGTTAAAAATAAATTTGTTGAGTGCTCCTATCAGGAGGATTATAAAATACAAGAAGTATTAAAAACAGGAAGTAAATCTTGTTATGTTCAAAGTACAAATTTCTTTGATTCCTCTTCAAATTTCATACTCATGGTTATGAAACAAAACATTTTTACCAATTAAGTCAAAACTATGTATGCCTTTAAAATTGTTTAAGATTTTATTTTTTATGTTATGCCTACTGAAATAAATTTTTTCAGGTGTACATGCTGTACATAAACATTACAAATGGATAACATGTGGACATTTCATTCTGTATTAAATATCTAGTATTTGTTCAATTATCTTAAATCCACTAATTAGCAGTAAACAATCATTAACAAAGGTGATAAAACTGCCAAAGCACTGGTATTTAACTTAATCCCATTGTCAGTTAATTAGTGTTACACAATCAGGTAACAATTTTACCGGAAACGCCGGTAGGCATGAAATTTGGAAATTTTATTTTTTTGAAAAGGCAGAGGGGTGCATTCTTTTACTTTGGAGGGCAGAAGGGCGGGGGTAAGGGCACCAAGGGCGGGCCGCCCTTCTATTTAGGGCAGGCGGGAACACTGTTGACATATATGAATTTGGGTTAAATTACACCAAGGCTAGTTATAACAACAATCAGGATTTTCAAACACATAACAATAAAACCAAATTAGCTCTGCAAAACCAATTAACATTAATCATATAATTAATATTCTTAATAATAAATCCTCTAATCTCAATTTATTTCATTAAAAAAATTCTCGAATTTCTATTCATTGAAAATAATATTATTTTGATATATACATTTAAAAAACATTTAATATTTCAACCTGTGCTTTAAAAATGGGTGTGATCGAACCCAGGGACAAACGTGTGGGGTGCGAATGTGTTGTGGGAGCGAACAGACCCTATACCAAGAATATTTACTTAAATATTATATATATCATAAAAGAAAAGAAAAATGGGATTCATGCCACAAGCGCCAGGAATACTATGAGATTTCTCGTGGAAGTGAAAAAAAACCCCTAAAGTACAGATGAGCTGGTCAAAGAGGTAAATTTTATCATTTTCGTAGTACGGTAAATTATTTCTGAGATTAAAAGCGATGAGTCCTGAGTAATACTAATAGGTATTTTCAAAAATGTGTTGTTACGGATAAATATGATTCTCCGTTGCAAATTTATCTTTTACAATCATTATTCATCGCACAGAATATTGCGATTGAAGACTTTACCATTTTCTTTTTTCGTCCCATTTTATTTTCTGAACATGTGCTTGTGTTGATGTGTAGACGTCATCAATTTGGTGGTAAAAAAATATGACAAAGACCAATAATAAAACTACTGCCAGCAAAGCACCAAATCCACTACAACGTACTAAATATAAATGTAAAGAATAGTCAAATATATGAGGATGTGGGTGGGGTTTAGAGAATAGAAAAAAATGGACAAAAAAATAATAATAAAGAATAGATGAAAATGGGAAAAAAAGAATAGAGAATAGAGAATAATTGGTTGCCAAAATATAAAGAATAACTGCAAAAATTAAAGAATTGGGTAAAAAGATATACTGATTACAGAAAAGAACAATGTTCAGATAACAGTTATCAAGTAATTACAGAATAGCCCTTATTTCTAAAGATAAAGAACAATGAGCGAAAAAATAAAGAATACAGAAATGAAGGACCCCATCCATACCCTCAAGTATGCAAAGTGCTGATATAAGAGTACTTGTACCAGTACAGTTAAGTTATTTAAAACGTTAAATTTTAACAAAAAAATAACCATGTTTACCAAAATCAAAACATCAGTCAGTAACGATAACCAAGGATATGTAAAAGCAAGGATTTGTATAAATAATTGGTATGCTATAAGCTAGTAAGACTCTAGTTATTTTTACCAGAGACATATATACATGTTTACTGATATATAAGATCAATGATTTCTATATAAATCCTTGATATGGTCGATCATATGATACATATATAATTATATATCTCTGTTCTATATATACAAATCCTTGCGATAACCTACCGTATTCTAACTTTAACTTGTCCAAAATTAAATCAAATACAAAAAGATCATCGCTGAAATACCAGGGACATAATGATTGTTAATATACTATTCCCAGCTGTAAAACACATAAACATTCAAAAATAACAAATCGAGACATAACAAATAGAAAGACACACCAATTAGTGACGTCTATTAATTATTCCCACTAATGAATTTCAGGCCAGTTATGGTATGAAATAAAATTTTTAATCTGTCCGGCTTCAGTTTCAGTAAAATTCATTAAATATTTAAATTGATTAAAACCATAAATATTACACAAATATAACGTTAACAACCAGCACCATAACAATTTATAAGACTACAAGTGTGGACACAGATCAGTGTGGATAGTATGATTGGATGTTTGACAGTGTTTTATATGACAAAAGGAGTTCTATGTTTTATGTTTTCTATGTATTAACTGTGTTGCACAATGACAACCAACATTAGGGGTGTTGTTTATGTAATATTTAGTTTTTTATGTTCAACACGGGCATGGCAGAGATACTAATTGCATTAATTACCAAATGATTATGATAGAATATATATGTTCCACATCTTTGATTTTGGATACATTTTGAAGCTATGAGAGGAACACATAATAGGTTCATTTTTTTCTTAATGTGATTTTTTTATATGGGAGATGGTATCTGAGAACATGTATTTGCTTACTATTTGTATGGTTCTATTTATATTACTTTGTTGGGGATTGTCAGTATCATAAGTAAAAGATTTCGGTTAAATGTGGAAATTGTTTCTCAGTTTAGAAGACATTTAATGTTTTTTAGTAATGACAATGCCTGACATGATGATTGGGGCTAGATGAGCTAGAACGTGAATTTCTGTGTTATTTTTTATTAATTCTTTGAAAATATCTCCTCCAAAGCTGGTCAAAGCAAAAAAAAGTTTTGACCAGTATGAAAATGATATCAACAAAAGAACCTTTGTGAGCATGCTTCAAAGACTCATAACTAACTACAGAAGTCATATGATAAAATGTCAAGTGGATATTATGAACATCTACTTAATATGTCTAAATATCTAAAAAGTTTTAGTATTCAATATGAAAAAGCTATTGCAAAAGTATTCTCTTTTCATTTTTTTTTTGTTATATGGATACAAATATAAGTGATACCAATACAGTAAGGCAGTTTTGTTATGGTATGAAAGTGTAGTAATTAACATTTACTGTTAATTCACACAAATTAAGAAATAAACAAATGAATGATAAATGTTGAACATGTACAATGAAATATATTTCAGAAATCAATTAGGCCAGATAGGCCTTATAAATTTTGGTCTTTTTCTTAACATACTGAATGACCATTTACACTCAGGACTGAGTCGCCAGTAGGCAGTACAGATGTAAAAAAATGTGGATAGTGTCCACATGTGGACACAGATGATGCCCCCGCTTGCATATCATATAGTTATAAAGGGACATAACTGAAGAACGGTAAAAGTGACGCTACCCAAATTTGAACTTGATCTTAGTTTTGTGGTAATAAGCATTGTGACTGTGTAAGTCTCATAACATTAGGTTGAGGCTAACTTAAGTAGAGAACAGAAACTCAAAATTCAGCAATTTTTCTATTTGTAACTCTAGAACGGTTGTGTATAAGTTTTATAACATTTGGCTGAAACAAACTAATGTTAGAGAACGGAAAAATTCAGCAATTTTTATGTTTATAAAGGGACACAACTCAAGAATGGTAAAAGTGTCGCCACCAAATTTCGTACTTAATCTGTATTATGTAGTAATAAGCATTGTGTATAAGTTTCATAACATTTTGTAGTGGCAAACTAAAGTAAGAAAACGGAAACAAAAAATTTGTACTTGATCTTAGTTTTGTGGTAATGAATATTGTGTATAGGTTTCATAATGTTTGGTTGGGGCAAACTTAAGTTACAGAATGGAAACTAAAAATTTTGCAATCTTTCGATTTATAAAGGGGCATAACTCAATAATGGTTAAAGTGACCCTACCCAAATTCAACTTGATCTGTATTTTATCAGTGGAAGTCAAAATTAAACATTGCATTGTATAAAGCATTGATTGTAGTTGATTCAACTATAATCATGGACAAAGGAAGATAACTCCAATTTTAAAATTACTTGATATTTAGAAGAAAATAAAAACTTAGCAATTTTTCCATTTATAAAGGGGCACAACTCAAGAACGGTTCACCAAAATTCAAACTTGATCTGTGTTTTGTGGTAATAAGCATTGGGTATAAGTTTCATAACATTTGGTTGAGGCATACTAAAATTAGAGAACGGAAACGAAAAATTCAACAATTTTTCCATTTTTAAAGGGGCATAACTCTAGAACGGTAAAAGTGACGCTACCAAAATTCAAACTTGATCTGTGTTTTGTGGTAATAAGCATTGCATATAAGTTTCATAACATTTGGTTGAGGCAAACTAAAGTTAGAGAACGGAAACCAATTTTGGGACGTACGTACGTACGTTCGTACAGTCGGACAAGGGTAAAACTTAATGCCCCCTCCGCTATGGCGGGGGCATAAAAATAAAGTGTAACAAAAGAACTTAGCATCATATTGCTAGTAGCGCCAGTAGCATTGTTTGGTGAATTTGTGCTTTTTTTTTTAATTTGGCTAATGGACAAAAAATGTTTGGTTCAAATCTAAATAAAATGCTTTTATCTCCCTATTACTTACATTGTACATAGAAAGGATACTACTTTGACAATTCCTTGTACATGAGAGTTGTCTGTCAAATCTTTATTTCACAAAGAATGAATTGCATAACAATGAACTGAGCTCAAAGCAAAGCACTTTAATAATACACTTAGACAATGAGCTCAATCCAGTGATATACTTTGTACTACAGGTCCTTCATGAACATCCTACTGGCCAAAACCATATCTCACAAACATGCCATACTACATGGTTGGATCAGAAGTCCTGAAAAAGACATGAACTTTATTAACATATTTTAAGTATATACACCGCTTAAAACTTTCACAAATTTGTGGTAAAATTATTCAGTATCTAGCAACTATCAATCGCTTCATGCACAAATTGATATAGGTTGAGTACCCCTCTGTCAGAAATAAGAACATACCTCCACCTAATTTTAGTTAACTGATGAAGAAACATTCAAAACTATAAAATGTTATCTAATAGACTAGCCGCAATGAAATCTCAGTTTTCTAAAATGGTAGGTGGAACCTAAAACTCAAAAGATTTTAAACTATGCATTTTAATTATTGCAAATATACATGTAATAATAATTCTTCTCAAAAATTCGCTATATTTTTCCTTACACAATGTATTTTGTCTTTTGTTCGAGACTGTATATTGACCTCTAGATGTCTTTCAATTACATCCAGTTTGGCATGGGTTGATGTTTGATGGTTGTACATGTTATATATCGACGTGGGATTTGTTTATATAAATTAGGCGTGAAATAATTTTGGTTAACTGAAATCCTTTAACTTACTTCCAAATTAATGTTAATACTGAGGGAAAAAATTACATTGCTAAATTAAAACACATGCAAACTTTTTGAGAGGAAGGCATAATGCATGTAACATCTATTAGATCTTTTTTTAAACCATTCTAAACTACTGATAAGTGATAAAGTTTGTTAACTGTTACTTACCTTCAAAAAGGGGGTTGCATTCACTTTACTACATATACATATAAATATAATCAACAATACTGAGTGCAACACCTAGGATAAATAGAGGATTGTTTTGTAAGATCTAGAATAGTTGCTGAAATAAGCAGGCAATATTCAAAGTAGAATAAAAAATATTACAGGACTGTGTTTTAAAGTAATGAGCATTGTGCAGGGCTCACGTTACCATGCTACTGGGGCGACAAAGTCGCTTTCCCGGTCGCCACTTCGCTTTGACCGACCTTCAAAAGCGAAATGTAGTCTCCCTGTTGTTTACGATACTCAAATTCAGTCGCTCTCGTCATCGGCAATATTCAACATTTACCAAGTCGATGAAACAGAAATTTTTCATTTGAAAGTAAAGAAATTCAAAGACATAAACGATTTATTTTCTTTAGGAGGTTAAAGCATTGATTTTAAGGTTGGTTGCATGTTATTTTCATAAAGAAAACTTTTTTATCACTTCTGGTACTTGTTACTCAAGCGTAGATCAAATCATTCTAACTTTCGGCAAAATAAGCTTGTTACTTCATTAGAACGTGATGAAATTAAAGATTTCTTGCTGTTGTGCAATACACTGTGCTGTTGCGCAATACTTAGTAAATCTGT